TTCAGAAGAGGAACGGCTTGAAGGCAGCAACCAGGTGAGCATAGGCGTGTTGGACTTTGTGTGGACTCTCCTCAGCTGGGGAGTTCCCTCGCTAACTATACAAATTTACGCGTGAATTCGGGCAGAAATTTGCAGGAATTCCCGAAAATTTACTCAGAATTCCCATAGGGCGAAGAATTCATGTGCAGGTATAAAATAGTGATGCACGCTATTGCTCGAGAAACGCTTACGAAAACGCAACCTCTGAATGCAGCGGTTCAAGTGTGGATTATGGACGATATTGTTGAACGCCCTTTGAATGTTATTGAACTCGGCAAGGCTGTGGCCAGCAGGAGCATGGCTACTGGGGCGAACAGTCGGGTTGCTGGGAATCCCACGTTCCACTCTAGTGAAGGGCTCGTTGTCACTGGTGGCACTGAGCAGTTGTTGGAGCTGACTTCGTACTGTATTGATGATGATTCCACTGACAGTACGCCGGACTCGAATAGAAAATGTCAACCCTGTCGAACTGAGGAAGATTGTGGGAATAGTGATGGTAAGCCTTGGTGTTAGGGATTCAGCACGGGGTTGAACAGTTCAAAAGACTTGATCTCTAAACTGGTACATACACGGGGTTGTTCTTGTTGATTTTCTCCTCGCTACGATAGACAGGCACACTGCGTTGAAATGTTTATAGTAGTAACGCAACTATAACGCAACTACTCGGAGGTGAATTGAAACTTTCATTTTTCTACTCAAATTTCGGGAAACCTATCGACATTAATTTCACTAGTTAGCAGAAAACCGTTTATAGTTTCCTGATCATACATTATCGTGGATACTCCCATGCTGCATATCAAAATCGACATAGCCCCTTTCGCATAGTCGCCAATAGTCATATACCAATCTTGCAATCTTGCGTCCCCTTGCATTTCCTCAATTTTCAGTTACTCGCACTTGGTGTGTCACGCCAATAGCAGCGTCCTGTGCTTCAAACAACCTCGCGAATGTCCCGGCCTTCAGCGTCAAACTTCGGGCGGAGTCGGGCGGGCCGATCAGCTCGGGAAGCATTATAAGACGTGAGGGAGCGAATCTTGCAATCTTGCATTTCCTCAACGCATTTTAGTGTATTTGCATCCTCTACTGAGTTGGAATATTCAGCAGAATGTGGTGGCTACGTGTACTCCCCTCCAAGGCGCTGTGTGTGGGAACGTCACTGTTAAAGCTGAATCAGTGATTGGCTCAGAGGAACATGTTAATGTGAGAGTTTTTGTCACGCGCCACGAAATTAGAAGCTGTCGTGTGAAATTTCAAATTTTTTGGAGAAATTCTCGAAATTTCCGCGTTCACGATTGCGAAATTCAAAATTCTCCAAAATTTTGCGAGTTGCAGCAGACTGATACTCGTCAAGTTTGATATCATGTTTTCGCTGGAGTATTTTGCGCAGCGCGAAGAAATTCCTAGTGCTATCTTGAGAAGCGTTCTTCTACTACGGTATGTGTGGTATTAAATATAGAATATCTTTGTTTGTTTTTTCTATAATATAGTCGAATTTCTCGGCGAGTATATGCCTCCCGACTTGCAACTGGCGCGAGTCGCCTTGTGTGAATGAGCGGGTATTGTGATTGATATCATTACAAGTTGTGATGGTATACGTTGATCGACGAGCACTTCGCAACGTTGTGGAGACAATATCTGAGAATCAAGACTGCTGCTGTTGACTACGTCTACTATCAATAACTATACGAATTGACTCTAGATTTGGCATATAGAAAAATCTAGCGATGAAAAACTCTAATTTTGTGACTTCATTTCGACTCAGCAAAGTCAGTTGTACAAGAGTATGATATTATCTACTTTGAGTGTCATCACCGTAAAATGCTACCCGTGGCCTGGTTTAGATTTGTAGCTGTATATTTCACGAAAGATATCAGAATGACCAAGGCGGAAATAGATGATATCGTTGCTGCCTTGGTCAGGTTATCAAGTTGACGATGCCGTCAACGCTGACAGCGATCACTGATGTCATTCAGCATACCATCAACATAGGCAACCTGAAGCTGCCTGAGAATGGCTTCTACCCAGAGGCGATCACGGCTGAGCTTTTACGGGAGGAGGATGCCGGCCCGCAGTGAGTTGGGATGACGTTACTTGGTCGTGACTTCGACACAGCGAAACTATGCGGAAAAGGAGTTTGTGGGGACTATTTTTTCATGGTATTTCACTGATGCCAGTGGATTTTTTTTGCCTCAGAAGGAATTTTTTCGTTAATAAATTCTGGAAACGGCATTTTTTAGCTGTGTGGATCGAGTCACTCGATTCGAGTGTGATTTTTTCCCGAAATTTCAATGAAAATAATTTTTTCAATAAAAATTGGAGCATCTGCGGAGGGATGAACGAGGCTGCGGATTTCTAAAACTGGGAAAAATGACGATTGGTGAATTTTGGTGAAGTTAGTAAATGCGATGGTACTTTGCATCGGATCATATTATGGTTAATTTCGCATCGTAAATGCAATGTGAAAAAAATCATTTTTGGTGATTTTCTGGCGCCTCACCCTCATAGAAGTTCATTGTTGTTAATTATATCAATCGCTCCCTCTTCCCCTGATGAAATGGTTATTCAATGCAGCTTCGCTCCGCTACGTTATGGTTTTTATCTCTCTCTTAGTTACTGGGGTTCGGTGGTAGCGACTGGATCGTCAAAATTATGGGTGCAAACGACAGTGGCATCCGCGAGCATCGTGAGTCGGACTGGAGACGGCAATGAGAAGCCATTCAAAGGCGACTTGAAAAACGAATTATATTTTCGGATCGTCACGGGTTTTAACGTCTATGCTGCAGCAAGTGGAGATGCGCAGATGACTTTCTTCTTACCACCAGGGTGAGTAACCCAAATCGATCACTCGGGCGCGCGCTATTATCGTATCAGGTACAAATGTGCCCAAACTGGTAGTGCATGCACTTCATCATGTAATGCCGATAATTATGTTCCGGACACTTTGTCGGTTTTCAAAGACGCCGAGACGGGCGAATATCTGATGCCCTCGAGCCGTGGGCAGCTGGGACAAGCAGTAGCGGACTTGGTCAACGAGGCTGAGTGGAACAGCACGGACGCTCTGGGTAGGGAATTTCGTGGCGCGTGACGCTCATCTGTTGGTACCTGTGCTCGGAGGTTGTGTAATGTTATCTTGTATTATTATGATTCACCGTGTACCACAGTTTAATAGTGTGATCGAGTACCACGGAACCAGTGTGAGTGAACACTACTGCAATTTCCAGGTCAAAAAGTTGAATTTTTTACTCGCTTGGTTAATTTTTTAACTTTTACTTTAACTTTTTTACCCATTGTTTTGATCATCATGCGCGCATTGTTATTGCGCACGTCCTTGGTTAAAATAAACTCCCGAAATTTCGAATTAACTGGGTATAACATTTTCCGGGTAGTATTTACCAAGACATATGAATCTTCTTAGTTTTCCATTATAACCACGGGTAAAATGGAGTTTCACCCGTTTGACGTGAAGTGGCGTAGTACCTGGTGAAAAACGCGATATTCGCGCTACGCAGTAGTCGTGAAATATATTTTTAACTAGTGTTTTTCATATCACGCGTGAAACTCCAATATTACCGAAAAATGGTAAAAAATTAAACTTGTTGGTAAAATAAGAATTTGACCTGAGAATGCTATAGCGTGTCTGCAATAAGTTTACTACAGACACTATAAGAGTACAACTATTTTCTCTTTCAGGCGTGATAAGCCAACCTGGATATGTTCCGGCCACATGTCGCCTCACATTCCGGGAGGGTATGGTGATGTATGGCAACACTGTGGTGTACGTCGGCATCACTGTGGACAATCCCTCTACAGCGCTACAACAGGTGAGTTAATTTCGGGCAGTTTTCATCGATAATCGTTGGGTAATTCAGTCCGATAGTACCAATGTTTGGACATTTGAAGTGAATCAGAAAGACAGCGGGCCGAGTTATGATAAGGCAGCTTTGATGTTTACTCTGTCGCAACCCACGACGACGACAGCGTCCTTCGCGCCTGTCACTGATCCTGAGCATTTCAGTGCTAATGTGGCGGTTCTTGGAAAGCTGTCGGACGAAGTCATTATTCCCACCAATTTCGCCGTAGAGGCTTGGAATGAACTGCAGGTCTTTTTCAAGACGGAACAAGAGTGCGGTAGCGCTGATGATGGTGCTGCACAAGTGTGGATTGAAGCACCTGCGGGTTTTGACTTTTCTAACTATTGTTCGCTCCTTACGCTTGACGACGGCTATTTTGTACCGGAACCGGCGATTCCCACGAAGAGGTTACCAGTTGGCACGAATATTAATTGTCGTGGCGCAGCGACTTTAACTTTGGCTGCATCGAGCACCCTATATAACGTTGCTCGGGTCGCTACGACCAGCCGTATATTAGGAGGACAGTTTTACGCGTTCGGTCTGCAAGTTCGGAATGCCGCTGAGTATGAGCATGGTGGTAGATGGACCATCACGACTCGCACAAAATCGGGCTCGCCATGTGATAGCAGTTTCTACAGCGTGAGAATGAACCCTCAGGAAGCAGTGGGCAGCAATAGCAAGTCTTGGGGTGTTTACCAACGAGCAATGCCGCGCAGTAACTTTGGTATCACCTTGGTCGACTTGAAACCGGCGGTTTTGGAGACGGATTCCCCCACTGATATAATCGTCTTTCCTATAATCGTCCAGAAGAACACGAAACAGAATTTCAGGATTGTGGCGCCTGGAGGATACAAATGGGAGTTCACTAATGAGGAATTCAAGTGACATTCCATATCGAAAATCATCCCTGGAACATGAATCGCTTCGCTCCGCTCAGATACAAA